AGTTGGCAGGTTTTGTGTTTTGGGCTGTAGGAAGTTGGCTTCAGTTCTGGTGATGAGGTTAGGTGCTTGTTTGAATGTACAAACAGTAACTCATGGACTCAATATACACAGTGGAGCTCTGCCACACTGCGACCAGCCGGACATCTGACATCCCAGGCACTTCTGCACTTTCACCTGTAATGCATAGACATGACAGGAGTTATGCTTTCAGGAATTTGGGGTTCAGTTCCCCCCAAACTCCTGCACTGATCTTCTTGAAACTTGGCAGGCTTTGTGGCCTCACCAGGGGCTACCACCCTTGCAGTTTTCAGCCCCCTGTATTGTAACACATCGACTTGACAGGAGCTTTGCTTTCAAGGATTTGGGGTGCAGTTCCCCCAAAACCCCTGCACCAGTCTTCTTGAATCTTGGCAGGCTTCATGCGCTTAGCAGAGGCTACCACCCCTGCAAGTTTCATACAAATCATACAAAAAACAACAATATAGATCTTCCATTGATTCCCCATTATACCCTATGGTTGGATCTCCGAGGCGGCTCCAAAGCTTTGGAGCCGCTTCAGCCGGATCGAGGCGGAAACCCAGTCCGGAGCTCTGGATCAGATCACAGCCACCTGAAGCGGCCAGATCCGAAGCCGGATTGGATCACTGCCGACTCGCACAGTCCTACCACCCATCTGACTGTGTAGGAATCAATGTTGCAGTCGCCTAGTTTTTTTATGAGCATTGGGTAAGAAACCATGTCAAAGGCCTTCTTGAAGTCCAGGTAGACACCATCCATCTTCGCGCCCACATCCAAGGACTTTGTGACCTGGTCATAAAAGGAAACAAGGTTAGTCAGGCAGGATCTGCCCGTAATGAACCCATGTTGGTTGACCCTGAGCATCACCTCCCATGCTGGGCCCCCACAGATGTGTTCGTTGATAATTTTCCCAAAGGTCTTCCCAAGGACCGAGGTGAGACTAACTGGCCTTTAGTTACCCGGGTCCTCCTTTCTCCCCTTCTTGTAAATGGGAACCACTCTGGCCCTCTTCCAGTCCTCTGGGACTTCCACTGAGAGCAAGACTTGTGCTCCCTAGACAAGTATTAGGAACACTTCCCACCTTGAAGAGTTGACAAGGGAAATGGGCAAGGCAGGAAAAGGACTGGAAAGGGAAACAGAGGCACAAGAACTGATGTGACTTGCTAAGCTGCCCTTGGTCTCTAACTTCTAATTCAGTGCCTTGTCCTCAATGGGCTTGCCTATAGTGCCTCAGTGCCATGTCAATGGGCGTCACCATGAAAGCATGCCCCACCCACATGTACCAGATCATGGAGAAGAGGAGGCAGCATAGCAACCACCATACAGTGACCATGCTCAAGGCAGAAAACCTAAGAGCAGCTCTAGGCTCAGATTCAGTGCTGCTGTGAAGTGGCTACATCACCTTGCAAAAGTTGGTGCCTATGGAGCAGCTGCAAGTGAACCTCCTAGGCACAGTATCAAGGGGTATAGGCATATACTCAATCAAACTCCCTCTTCTGAAAATCTGGTCCTAGTGAAATGAGATACACATTTTCAGGAAAAGCTCCTGAGGTTTTATGTACTACAAAATGAAAACAGAGTGGGAATGAGAGGCTGTCCATGGGCAAGGCCCCTACACTCTACACCATCACATTTTGGCAGTGCCACTGCAGCAGAAATGAGTTTCATTTAGTTGATGTTTTTATAGTTTTTTCTACCTTGATGGAGGAAATCAATTACATGCAGGCAGGAGAGAAATAAACCCATCAGAAACCAAAGGAAAGTGACAGGCAAACCCATGAGATAGTCCACGTAGATTAAAAAAATGATCAGCATTCACTGCTGGGGAAATTAGCTAGATTAGTTAGGTTTTCATCTCTCTAGAGACAAAAAAAATTGCAGGATGTGCCTGCCATGGAAGTCCTGCTAGTTTCAGTGCTCAGAAAGATTGTCTTTTATTAATTCATGAGTATTTCACTCGCACTTCATAAATAAGAAACACAGATGATGATGTTAGATGTCAGATCATTTTGGTAACAAATAAAGGTGCTTTATCTTCTCCCTTTCCATTCAACACATATACACAGCTCATGCACATGAGCATGTGCATGCACACACACACTTGCACACACACACACATTCTCTGAATTTGTGCATCATTGTAGGTGACTACAATAAGTTTCAACAGCTGCTTAAAAAAACTGCCAGATCTGAGGTAGAATAATCCAAGTTTTCTACACAGAGATATGTACAGGTCTCCTAAAAGAGCCTGCTGCTGCAGCACAACCCATGGCATGCCTTACCTTGGGATTTGTTACCTAAGTTACTCAGTATTTGTAGTGTTTTGCATTTTCAAAGCACATTCTAAATTAACTGATGCTCACATCAACTCTGTGAAGTAGTAAAATATTATGGCCCCCATTTTATAGACAGGAGAACTGAGGCACAAGGTCAGATTTTCAAATTTAGCCATGCACCTTTCTACGTATATATATTAGTATGCACCAACATAATACATGCAAATCAGGTATTGCACATAACAGTAGCCAGCTCAACATCCACCTAGGCTGAGTGCATGTGCAGAATACTGATTTGCACTCATGTGTCAGGATTAGGTACGTGTTTAACAGAGGCATCCAAACGGAAACACATGCCAGACTTATGCCTAACTGAAAACAGTCTGTAATCTTAATATACACAGATTAAGGTGATTAAGGCCTGATTTCGCAGATAGGCTAAACACAACCACCCTACATGAAGTCAATGGAGCCTATAGGTGATAAGTATCTTTGCTAATACAACTCTAAGCACTTTCTATTGGACATATACAAAAAATTCTACACTAAGTGTGTTGCCCAAGGTTTCACATCAAATGTCATGATCAGAATTAGAATTCCCCACTTATGGCTCCCAACCTTCTAATCAGTCAGCCCAATCACCCTGTGCTTTAGGCTTGAAGCCTACCTTTTTGTATCATTGGTTAGCCTAACAAAATGAAGCCTGAGGGGGGCTATGATTGCTGGCTATAAATCCACTGGAGGGTAATCACCAGGGAGAAAAGCTATTTAACCTATGGGAAAAAACTGACACTAGTATAAATGTATATAATCTGGGCATGAGTAAGTTTAGGCTGAAAATGAGAAAAGTTCTTAACTGCCAGAGGAAAGTCTTTTGATTGGAGTCAGGGTACAAATGAGTTGTCATTTTTTAAGATGAAGCTGGATCAATTTATGACAGCATTTCTCTAACATGACTGCCTATGAGAAGAGGAAGGCCACTATTTCACTATGGCCAGCAATAAAATGATCACTACACTGTTCAGAGTATAGGCAGCAAGAAAGTGATCGGGAAGGCCCCTTCCTACCTGTTGTCTTTGTAGTTGCTGGGTCTTGTAGGACCAGTGATACTCATATGCTGAAGATGGCTTCCTCCAGTAGCTCTTCACATCAGCTCTTACAAAAAGAGTAGGGTCCTACACAATTTCTCTTGTGATATCCCTGAGCCATTTCTCCTTTGAATCATCTCAGAAAATGATGCCCTCAAAAGCAATTTGGCTCACCAAATACTTTTGTTTAAAATTGTTCTAAATAGCAACTTCATTGCCTAGATAACATAATGACCAGGCTATTTATAAACACCTAGACAAATGCAGCAGAGCATGGGGTTGTTAGTGCATAGAATATGCAGGAGAGTCAGGGAAGAGCCAAGGAAAAGCTGGTATGTGGTTAATCTCTATTTCTCTCTCTCTCTCTCTCTCTCTCTCTCACACACACACACACACACACACACGTATATAATCCTTGTCTCCTGTGTCTATTGCCAGATCTTGTGCCAGGAACAGAATACGGTGTTGGCATATCAGCTGTCATGGACAGTCAGCAGAGTGTGCCAGCCACCATGAACGCTAGAACTGGTGAGTTACATATTACAGGGGATCTCACACTTTTAACATGCAAAATAAAATGCATGGTATAGTGCTCACTGGGGTCAGTCTTACAGTACAGCTCTGCTAACAGCAAAATCTAGCTTTAGCCAGTTCAGTGAAAGGGGAAAAAAATAGTGCCTTGGTGCTTCCTGTACCATAGGATTCCACTAGCTAACCTATCAGCCTTCCTCAGAGTGCTTGGTCTTCTCATTACTTGAGACAAAGTACGAATTGGCTCCCCTCCTGGCAGTGTTCAGCCCATTCACACCAGAGACTCCCTTATTACACCAGGGCATGCCCAGCAAACATGCACCATCCAGCAGTGCTCCTTTGCTGGTTCATTTTGCCCCTTGCACTCAACTGCATGTAATTCTAATACACTGAAATCACACTTCTGCAAGCCCTGTGGCCCAAAGCCACAATTCAACTGCTAACCTTTTCCCCACACAGAACTTGACAGTCCTCGTGACCTCATTGTGACAGCCTCCACGGAAACATCTGTCTCCCTGGTCTGGACCAAAACCAAAGGGCCCATCGATCACTACCGCATTACCTTTACTCCAGCCTCAGGGATGGCCTCTGAGGTGACGGTACCCAAAGACAAATCTGAGCTCACTCTGTCAGACCTGGAGCCTGGAATGGAGTATACCATTTCCATCATCGCAGAGAGGGGCCGTCAGCAGAGCCTAGAGTCCACAGTGGATGCATTCACAGGTACTGAAGGCAAAACTCAGCTTGAGCCAATGTACAAGGTATTAGCACCTCTCTCAACATCCCATCTGGTGCTTCAAAATCCCAGTGTTCCCAGCTGGTACGGTTCCAAAGAAAACCCTGAAAATGTAAAGTAAGCACAAGTATTAATACGTTATGATACCATTATGACACTCAGTAACCTTGCAAAAGCAAAATGTGCTACAACTTGTAACTATGTTACAGTCTGAAACACTCTCCTTGCAGGAGAATTATATCTTTTAAAATTAATGTTCTAGGATAGATGTCTATTCTCCCCTCCCAGTGTCTAACCCCTCCCAGTGACAGGCTTACAAGTAATTCCTCTCTTTGTCTACAGGTTTCCGACCCATCACACAGCTACATTTCTCTCATGTGACTTCTTCCAATGTGAACATCACCTGGAGCGATCCCTCCCCTCCCGCAGACAGGCTTATCCTAAACTACAACCCCAGAGACAAAGAGAAGGAGACCAAGCAGGTCACGCTAGATGGAACCAAGAGACATGCCACCTTGTCTGGACTGCAGCCATCCACAGAGTACATCGTGTCACTAGTTGCTGTGCATGGCATGGTCAGCTCTGAGCCCATAATGGGCTCCATCACAACAGGTGAAGTCAGCAGTTCTCTGATGGGGTTTAATGTGCATGCCTCAGGATGAAATGTTTGGCATGGTAATTACTACAACTACACCACCTCACCCCCTTGGATCTGGCCTTGCTACACAGCACCAGCCCTACTAAGCAATACTTTGAAGGGTTGAGGCTACCAGTCTTTCCTGTAGGACAGTCTCCATGGCTGAATTATGCTATGCATGCTTCCCTTGGGAAGGGTGCATCATGCAAGTCATGTAGTTTCTCCAAACTTATGGTCTGTTTGGCCTCCATAACTCCTATGGCCAAAATATAGCCTTACGCAGACATAATCTCTAAAGTCAGAGCTAATGCACTGTGCGTTGGCCCAAGCTGAGTTTGCCCTTCAGTACCTGTGAATACATCCACTGTGGACTCCAGGCTCTGCTGACAGCCCCAAGATATATAGAGCTGGCAGTGGAGACACCTGGCTTAAAGCTGGCTTCCAATGTTGGAACTAACAGTACAATTTATCTTTACACACACACAAAATGCTGTCCCAGTGACTAATAATTTTAAAGGAATTACTCATTTTGGGATCTAGTCCATGAGATCAATAGGCAGCCCATTCATCTCAGGATTCCAATTCAACCTCCCCCAGAGCCAGACAGTCCATCTCAGGGGCTTCCAGTACTCATAGAATTTCATATTGTTTTAGTTTTGGGTTTGTTTCGATGTGGTGTCAGAATCTAAAATAATGCAAAGAGACTGAATATTTATCTTCCCTTAATCCTAGAATCTCAGCTCAGCCAAAAAACAAATTTATTTAGCTTGTGTTCAGAGATCCATTAAAGCCTTCCAGCTTCAGAAAAAGCAGCCACAACAGATGCATTATGGGTTTAGAGAGACAGGATCTATAGAAAAGAGAGACTTACATTGTTTGCATATAACTGTAGCCTGAGCCAAAGAGGAGCTGCTCCCCACACATTTGGAGTCAACATATACCACTCAGGATCCAGCTGCCAGCCCGGAAGGTAATGGGGGTCTTTCATTGATTTGTTCCAAGGAACTTAATTCCCCCAGTACCAGTTCAGAGCTCTGGAGGGGTTTGGCAGAAGAGAGGCAAAGCAGACTTCTGCATTTTTTGCTCATCTTAGTTGTTTGAAGATCACCTCCCCCTGGTACTTCTTTTCACCAAGACATTTTTGCCTATGACTACTGTTCTTAGAACCTGCCCTTCCTTACAGAGGAGATGTCAAATAGATATGGTTTCTCTCTTGGGCAACTAGGGGCTGTGGTATGAAACAGTCTGGGCAGCAGTTATCAGATGTATCAGCAACTGGTTAGAAAGCATATTGCTAAGCCAGTAATAGATGCTCCATGCCTTGAAACTCATGTTTGTGTTCCTCTTTGTGCTCTGTCTGGTCTCCTGCAGGGATTGATCCTCCTAAGGACCTTGCTGTGGGCAATGTGACTGAGAACTCAATGACCATTTTCTGGGCCCCACCCATTGCAGCTTTTGACCATTACAGAATTTCCTACCAGTCTGCTCAAGGTAACCTTCCAGTCGGCTCTAAATTCTACTCCCAACTAGTCTGTGGCCTCTCCTGGTCTGCATCCAGCACACTCTGACCAGAGGGGACAGGCTGGGAAGAAGGGGGTGGGGCAAAGTTAGCTGCAGGAAGAATCCCGCACTTGGGAATCCCGCTGCAAACTTGCCAAGGGGATAGGAGGCTAAATGGTATCTCCCTACTCAGGTGGTGCTGGGAGAGTGGGTGGAGAATGCAGTGGAAAAGCTGTGGGAAAGAAAGATGGACAGATGACATGTGAGCTAGGGAGAGAAAGAAATGGATAACCTGTTTTGATGACATGGAAAAGCTGAGGAGTGAGTTGCAGACACTGTGGAGGGTGGGGCTAGGACACCAATTAACCTGGATAAACTGGATAAATGGTCTAAAAAAATTAATCAGACTGAATTCAAGATGGGCAAGTGCATGGCCTTGCATTTGGGGTGGAATAATTGCATACATATTTACAAACTGGGAAATGAATAGCCAAGTTGCAGTACTGTGGAAACAACCTGGGGGTTACAGTGGACTGTAAGCTGAATGTGAGCCAACACCAAGTATTAACAAGAGTAGCTCTTGCAAATTAAGGGAAATGATTCTTCCGATTCTTCCAATCTATTCAGCACTGGGGATCTCATCTGAAGTACTGTGTCCAGCTTTGTCCCTGTCCGTCCCCACCCCCTATCTCTACTTCAAGAAAGATGTGGGCAGATTTTAAAAAGTCCACAGACAAAATGAGTAGAGGCCTGGAAAGCATGATTTATGAGGAAAGCCTAAAGGAGATAAGGTTCCTTAGTCTAGAGAAGAGAAGTTTGAGGGGGAATTTCCTAGCGGTTTTCAAATACCTGAAGGGTCACCACAAAGAGGATGGCTTTTTCCTCTGTGGCTGTATGGGAGAGAACTAGGAGCAGCAGCTTCAAACTGCAGCAGAGGAAATTTAGGTTGGAGACTAGGAAGAACTTTCTATGAAAGTGGTTAAGCGTTGAAACAAGCTACCTAAAGGAATTGTGGCTACACCCAGGAAAGGCACAGATTGATTTCTGAGGCTGCACTGCCCTCTGATAGAGGGAATGATTTGATCTCCCATATCCTTTCTGTTGGCACACTTTAGTTACCAGCAACCCTGTGCAGAAGTCAGCCTGAGAAAAGAGTGAATCTAGCTCAGGGGTGGGAAAAATATGACCCACAGGCCAGATCCAACCAGCCAAGGGATTTTGTTCAACCGGTGGCAGGTCCCTCAGTCTTCCCAGCCCAGGCACAGGGGACAGCCCGGGCCATGGTGTGTGAGGCCAGTCCCACCACCCCTAGGCTTGCAGCAGATCTGGGGTGGCGCGACTCCAGACTTGCTTCCCACCAGCCCCAATGGCAGCAGCTCTTCCTGACTGCTGCTGCCATCAGACCCAGCCCCACTGCTGGGCACCGCAGCCTATCTGCTCCACACCCACCACCGGTGGCAGGACTCATGTGGGCAGGGTGCTCAGCCAGGCAGATGGGGTGGAACTGCAGGTGGGTGGAAAGTGGTGTTCAAGAGCAGGACAGACAGGCAAGGCTAGGATCATGGTGCAGGATTGCAAGGCAGTGACAGCGCGGGGCCAGGGCCGGGGCAGAGCCATGATCTGGTACCCGCACAGCCCTGCAACAGGCCTGCAGGGGTACGTGGGGAGTGGATCGCTGCTGTGGCCCAGGCCGTAGCCCCATGCTGTCACCACGGCAAGATCCTAGACCCAGCCCATGACACAGCTCCTTGTCTACTCTCAGCCCCATCCCATCCACCTGGCCACACATCCTGCCCAGGTGGGTCCTGGCTGGTCTCCTTGAGGACCCTGGGATCTTGGGCCGGTAATAGTGCAGGGTTGAGATCTGGGGCAAAGCTGCAATCCACTCCTTGTATGTCCCTGCCCATGGAGCCACACCCATCACAGGGAAATGCAGGCAGCAAATCATGGCTCTGCCCCAGGCTGCAGCCCCATGCTGTCACCACCCCTTGATCCCAGCCCTGCAGATGCCACTCCCCATCCCAGTCATCCTGCTCCCACATGCCACTCCCCATCCCAGCCATGCCCCATCCCAGCCATCCTGCTGAGCACAGAGCAGAACCACTTAGGGAGTTTTAGTGAGTTGCAGGGGGTTGCTGACCTGGCTCATGACAGCTCACCAAAACTCCCCATATGGCCCATGGGCCCTTATAATTGCCACTTGGAGGTGGGGAGGGAAGCAGTTCTGACATAAACTGAACCAGCCCTGAAGGGCAAGTTTAACCTACAGCAGCTTCTCCATAGATGTTTGTGGACTGCAAAGCAGCCCCAAATTCCCATAGTGCTCAACTTGGTGATGTCCATCAGGCCCTTATGTGCCTTCTATGCTGGGGCATGCAAAAGATACAAACAACCCTTTGTTGTCTGATTACATACCAAACGTCTCATCCCATTCATAGTCTGCACCAAAAGCCATTAGATCTCTAATCCCTACAATGCAACTTCTCAACTTCTGAAGTCTCTTAAGAGCAGGATGATTTGGGGAGAAATAACTCTTTGCTATTCTCCTGCAGGAAGAGAGGACACCACACCAATTGCCAAAGACATCACTGCATACACTCTCAGCCGCCTGCAGCCAGCTACTGAGTATGAGATTAATCTAAAAAGTGTGCGGGGCCGGGAAGAGAGTGAGCGTACCTCCATCAGCATGTACACAGGTAGGCAGAAATTCTCAAACCATGCTCACAGGAGGCTAGGGTGCCACAGGCTGCTATACAGTGCAGTTGTCCAGCAGTGTGGGTACAGCATTTGAAAGAAAATTTAAAAAATAAGTGTAAGTATGGGATAGAGGACTGCTGCTGATTCACAGGGTAACTCTGCTTCTTTTTGAGCATCATGGCCATGAAAGTATGGTATTCATGGGGCACATGATTAGTTTTGATGGGAAGAGCAGAGCTGCTTAGCCATTTTTTATCATTTCCACATACTGAAGGAGGATCATGATGTTGCTCAAGGTTGGGGCCAGTCTGATACAACTCAACAAGGCCTCCAAGTTTACCTCATACAGTCCTGGTGGGACCCAGATGGACCTTAAAACATGTCCAACTAAAACCCTAAGGAAGTCTGCATGCCCAGCTGTAGAGAGGAATGATGAATCCATATAGCAGACAAACCCTAATCAGAGCCAGGTTTTGGGTGGTGGTGCTGATAGGAAAGAATGTCATAGCACGAGCCAAGAGAGATACCACTAACCTCCAGAAACAGTCCCACTGGGAAAAAAGCACCGGCACACTGGGATGCATAGCCACACGCAGACAGGATAAGTATGTCTGGCAGGTAGAAATTTTTTATTTCTTCTACCCTACTGAGTTACCAACAGGAGCATCAAAAATCCCTTAATGCTCAAAAAAAATCCTTTCTAGAAGGGATGGTAAGGCTTGAAACCAAGTGCAGTGCCCCAGGATGGCTAACTCCTGTTCATGCTCTTCACCTAAAGAATTTATCCTTCCTTTGCAGCCATGGATAATCCACTGGGTCTGACCGCCACCAATGTCACACCAACAGAGGCTCTGCTGCAGTGGAACCCCCCTCTGTCTGAAGTAGAGAACTATGTCATTGTGCTAACACACTACACAGGTATGTGTCTGGGAGTGAGAGTTGATGTGGGTTTCCCTCAGCCATTAAGTGTCCAAGCTGGCAAGTCTTTAATTCCAACCAGCTAGACTCCATTAATCATGTCATGAATAAATTAATCAATGTGACCACCAAGGCAGCTGGTTTAAAAGGAATTCCATTTCACAGGAGATTAGGAGGTTGGCTTTTCTCTCTAAGTGGAAAGGAGCTGGAGCAGGGTGGCAGAGTTGAAGCTTACTATTTGCAACTTCTACCTGGTCCTGCTTAAATCACACCATGTTCATTTTCTCTATTACGTGGCAATGCTTGCAGCCTACTTCTTCCTGAAGGCACAGTCAACCCAACAGAGGTAACCTTAACACTTTAAGGATAGGGAGCATTCCTGCATTCCTGCTTTGAGAACCCAGGATCTTGAGACTGACCTTGAAAACTAAGCACCAGATGACCTCAAAGGTGTCCCACTTTACCAGAACTAGATGCTAGTATGCGGTAACCTCTACTGAGATGTACAGAACCCCAGTACTGAAAGGGCTTCAAATTATTTCACTACAGCCAGCAAAAAAGTGAGAGTTCCCTATACCAAATCAAATCTCTGTATAAAGCTGTGCAGAACTGTGAAGACACAGGTCAGCAGAAAATAGAGGCAGGTGGGTTCTAAATTAAAATCTTGTGCTGACCTGTTTTGTAACCTTGAATAACTCACTCACCTTCTTTGAGCCTATTTCCCCATCTATAAAATGGGAATTGTGATTCTTGTGCCTCTTTCTAAAAGGCTTTGGGACCCTTAGATGTACAGTGCTGTTGGCATGGCCTGTTTTTTGTTTTTAATGTGGGCAGAAAATTGGCCATTCTCATTCTTCTGTGATCCAAAAGAATAAGGAAATAAGTCACCCATACAGCAGAGACATGACAAAATGTTACCTGTTGTGCCCAGGCAGCCTGGAAAATAGGGCTTTGTTTTCAAGCGGGTCTTTCCTGGACACATTTTAATGGACCAACAAAGGGGCTCAATATTGAATTTAAAACCTCTCCATATGATTCCAGTGGCAGGGGAGACAATTCTAGTGGATGGGACAAACCAAGAATACCAGCTAACCAACCTGCTGCCCAGCACTACCTATACAGTCACCATGTATGCCACCAATGGCCCTCTCACCAGCAGGACCGTCAGCACCAACTTTACAACTTGTACGTATGGTAACTTCTCCCATTTCCCTCTAAGGGTTCTGAATGTGTTCCTTATCCTTTGCCTGAGGAACAGAAGCCAACTACGCCCTTGAGCAGCCTAAGATTCTCTTATGTGGCGATACAGATGTGTCAGGGACCTGTTGATGGTATGGTGATGGGCAGGGTATAAGAACCAGAATACAATAATGATATACATGAGCTGTCAGTTTCTGTAAGATGCCTTTCAACTTCCATCAATACTGCTTTGTGCTGCTTCCTTCAAATTAGATTTCCTAATGGTTTCAAGAGGAAACCTTTGATCAGATACCTTTCTTGCCTGCTGCTGTAAGGTTTCATCCTCAAAAATTACTTGGCAAATATGCATTTCAGAGCACACTTTAAAGGTACCTATAGAGAACACTTATCTGGTTCTCAGTACCTTGTAAGTGGAACACCAAAATGGGAGTGGGTGAGCTGGTCTGAAGATCAGAGGCAAGGATGGGCTTTTGGCTATAAGACAGGACTGGAAAAAACTGAATTCCTTGGGTCCACTCTTGCCAATGTAATTAGATGAGCTGGGACATAACAGTAAGCATGTAAGACTTGCACTTCTGGGCTCCTATCAATCTCTGCAGTTTTGGATCCTCCAACAAACCTGACAGCCAGTGAGGTCACCCGCCGGAGTGCCCTCCTTTCGTGGCAACCTCCCATGGCAGAGATTGAAAACTACATCATGACCTACAGATCAACTGATGGAAGCCGGAAGGTGAGTTTTCACAGATAGAGGGACTCATACCAAACATAAAAGATCACATGAGGAATGAACAGCAGGTAGGAATTAATATTTGAGAAGACCCAATTCAGTAGGGAAAAATCATGTTTCTTAGGGTTTTGCAAAAATACTAAGGCACAAGTTGGTCACAAGAAAGAGATGCCTTTCTCTGTAGGCAATAGTTGAAGAGGCCACAAACCAAGAAGTCAAAAAAAGAAAAAATGGAGATTGTAAAGAATAGAATCATATGTTTACAGGTCCAAATGGACAGGATACATCTGAAAGGCTTTAAAAAACTAGTACAAGGAACTTCAGAACCTCTGAAAATTAGCCACTGGCACCAGGAGAAAGGTGTATGACAAATGGAAAGAGGCTAAAAGCAGTACCTGTCCTTAGGGGGAGTAGGAAGATAGATCCAAACAACTAATTAGTACAATATGTTTGATCATTTAATGAGGGTATCAATATCTGTCCATCTGGAAAAAATGTGCTAACTTTTGTTTTACTAGAAATACATCATTGAAAATCTACCTAATAGTTTCCTTTACAAGGTGACTTGATACTGGCTTTTCAGCAAGGGATTCAGCATAGTTCTAAGCAGATACCAGCTAGACTGAAGTAAAGCGGAGCATGGATTAGGAATTGGTTGATAACCAGAGACGATCTATGCCATTCCTTACACTTTTGTTGCCAGTGATGCCGTGTCTCAGGAAAACAATGCATCCAGATCCTTTGGTTTACCTTTAAAATGAATGTGTTGGCAAGATCTGGCCTTTGTGTCAGACTGAAGTTCACCCCTGTACCAAAAACCATGAAAAGACAATTGTGCTACCTGGAACCCACTTAAACCCTCAGCACAGGTGCCCTGTGGTACCAAGGTCTTGTTTGTCCTGGCTTTCTAACCAGGGGAGAATTTAACCTGAGGTGACTTGGGATTGAAAAGCCTGCTACACGGGTTTTTTTTTACTTTGTGAAGCATCTTGATATTCTTCAAATGATGCTGTACAAAATGTCCCCAGATCTTATGGGAAACAGTAAGTCCTGTCAACATGGACCCTGAATAGTGCTTAACAGTCACACCCTGTTCTGAAGGACCTCTCCTAGTCACTTCAAATCTCCCCTTGGCTGATGTACAAAGAGAAGACATGGCTGAGCAGTTAAAAACAAAGGCCAAGGAGTCAGGTAAAGTGAAGGCGCCTACTCCCAGCTTTTCCTTTGATGTGCTATGTGGTCGTTGGCAATTACTTACCTGGTGCTAAGGGTTAATTCATCCATGCACATGAATGCCATTAAGTTCTCCATTCATATACCATATACTGTAGATAATTTTAGCTTCTCTTACCTCCTTACTTGCTTCATGGGTGTCTGGTAGCTTTCCTAGTCTATTAAATCTTATATCCACCTTGTCTTGTGACCCACCTACAGGAGCTAATTGTAGATGCAGAGGACACCTGGATCCGCCTGGAGGGGCTGTCAGAGACTACGGAATACACTGTACGCTTGCAGGCAGCCCAGAATGCCATGAGAAGTGGATTCACCTCCACCACCTTCACCACAGGTGAGGGGCATATGCCACATTCATTTGACCAGCTGTGCCCTCCTATCAGCAGTTTTCAGTGAATTCTGGCTCAGACAAGGACACTGTATATTACCTCTTTCTGCTAAGAAAGACTATTTTGTCTCTAACTAAGCACCATACTGCTCTTATTTAAAGACTAGCTAACTGCCCGTCAAGAATGATGGCAGGGGAACAGGTGAGGCCAGAGGCCTGCCCCCCCCACCCGGGCCCACTCCCCCTTCCCTCCTGCTGCTTGGGTCCTGGCCCACTCTCCCCCTCCCTGCCACAGCAGCAGGGGGAAAGGAGGAGTGGGTCCAGGCCTGATGCAGGGGAGGACTGGGCCCAAGGGGAGGGAGAAGCCGGGCCACCACAGCAGCGGGGCACAAGGGAGCAGCAGGCCTGGGCCGATCTGGCAGTGGTGGGGGGATGGGAGGAGCTGATTCAGGGCTGACGCGGGGGAGCAGGGGTGGGGGAGGAGTGAGCCCAGGCCTCCTGCCCCTGCCATGCCATGGCAGGCTGGCTTTTCCCCCAGCTCAGGCCTGCTCCCCACCCCCATGTTGGGCCCAGGCCTGCTCCCCGCTGCAGGCCTCACCCCTCTCACCACCACTCCTTCCATCCACTCTGTTGCCGCTGCCTTCAGGGAGCAGGGCAGGGGGGCGAGGCCAACTGTGCTGGCCTCAGCACCCCCAGCCCCCACTCCATCCCCCATGTCCCCACCATCATGGCCATGGGCTGCCTTCTGTTAGAACACTTCTTTGTGTTCTGATTGGCTGTTTGTCAGCCAATCAGAGCGCAAATAAAGTGTGACAGACAGACAGACTTCGGCTTTTATAATATTAGAATTGTGAGCCTCTGCCCCACACTTTGCCGAGATACACAAAAGCAAAGACCTTCATTTTAACTATCCCAAGTATTTTATCTGCCCATTTCCTTATAAATGGTTTAAAGCAGAGATGGGTCCATGGTACAAAATTAGGACCAAGACATGAATTCTGCTATAATTCAAAAATATTTGGACACTAAGTCTTATTTCAGATCTTATCTCTAGCATGAAGACCCCCTATTTTAACCCAGATATCCATTCCTTTGTCTGATTTTAGAGAAGTTCCATCTATTAAATATTCCACATTAGTGGAATAGTTGTTGTTTGCTTTATCTATACACAGACTGATATCCAGAGTTGCTATGACATTCTTGTCAAAATGCTTGCAAGAAGCAGTCCGTATTGAAATGTTGCTACAACACTGCACTTAGCAAACACTTGTGTTAAAAATGTAGGGACAACATACTGGCCACTGTGGAAAAGCTTATTGAGAAAGTGTCACTCAGTAAGCACAATGCACATTGTGCTGGGCTAAATCCAAGTCCTTTTTTGCCAAGACTCTTCAAAAGAGATGACAAAAACTGATGATGCTGTCCACTCCACAGTGCTGAAATCTGCCCCTTCTGTGTTCATTAAAAGGGTTTCTTTTGAATTCACTATACATATTTTCTCTATGGAGGCCTATGGAGAACCTCTTAACCTGCTTTTAAGTGATAACAGGAGTCAGCAACAATAGTAAAAATTCCTCTTTTCTGATGTTTTTATAGAACAGGGTCTTGTACATTATTCTTACCTCTGCATCGGTGAGCACAAAATACAATGGACAAGAAGATAGGTGGCAGAGAATGAAAAATACATATAACTGGTGGGGATGATCTTGAGTCCATTGGTGTCAATGGACCTATTCTGAGGTTTCCATCAGCTGATAAGCTGATCCTCTATAATGTCAAAGAAGCTAATGCCAATGGCTGCTTCCCTGAGGCATGTTTAACTTGCTTCTAAGTAAAAGCAGAAACTAGTAACAACTACAAAACAAGAAACCTGCTTTTACTTTAAATAGATTTGTGAAACAGAAGGATGTGGGATAGAACAATAAAACAAATGATCTCTAGACATCCTTTCTTTTGGATAAAAAGTAGGGTTCAGAATTCAGTTTACTCTGATAATGTATCTGGGAAACTTCCAGGAGAACAATAGGTTGTTTAAAAAAAACCAACATCATTCAAAATATTTTTCTTCCTTGTGTTCACAATAGACATAACAGGACTCTTTCATTCTTTTCGACATGTTAATAGCTGTCTATCTCTTTGTTACATGTTTGCAGAAGGTTCTGAGGGAATTGTATACAAACAGTAGAAAGGAAAGAAATAAATACAATATTTATCATTTATAATGCCTTGAAATTTCTTTCCAGGTCTTCTTGGCTTCTAAAGATATGAATATACATTGAGAACCAAGTAGTGTCCTTAGAGCACAAGGGACTCCAAAGTGTTTGTCTGAGGCAGACTTCATTGTATGTTTAATGAGATAAAAAGCAAACAAGTGTCTTACAAGATTTTGTATTAAAGAGTGTGGGGACTGTTAAAAAGGGCTCTTTGACCTTTGGACAAAATTGACTATTCACCTACCAAGAAGAGATGGAGAGGCATTGCAGACACCCAAGTAGAAAACAATAATTGAAAAAAAAAAGTATTCCTTCCTTTACCCTACCCCCTTGCTGGATAACTTGCATTAGCATTTCCCACCTACAGCATCAAATTAACACACACTGCATGTGTAGCTGACACTGCCATTTAACTCAATTCATTACTGCAACTGACCCAGATATATTCTTGTGAGTTGTACCCACTTACACCATGGTCCAGACTCTCCTCAACCTGTCAAAGATTTATAAGAGTCTAACACCACTGCCTTCTGGGAAGTTATTCATGTTTTACTAAGCCATAGGCTTCTCTTATTTAAACAAAAATCACAAATAACTCCACTCAGTGGGTCAATTTATCAATTAGACCAGTGTAAATCAATATACTTCTTATGCTGGTTGGTTCAGAGTGAGATGAAAAATCAGACGCAGGTTGGTGACATGGAAGACCTGCTAAGATCACATGGATTTGATATACAGGTTTCCTTCACTTTATACTCTACATGCATTCCCGGAAATTGGCGCATAACTCAAATCCATATAAAGGGAATCCACTTTACAATGTAACAAATAGGGATACATTCCTTGGCCTCGAACATACTGACCCCTAGACCCATTTCTACCACTTTTGCAAGACAATTTTGGTACTCACCAACAGCAGACAGTACAGCGCTGCTGCTGGGTGGCTTCGGGGCTCACAGCTCCCAGACCGCTGTGCTAACGGGGCCAGACTGGGCCAGGCTGCAGGGGCCAGTGCTTCAGAGGAGCCGGGTGCGGGGCTGTTGCTGGGCCAAGGGCTTCACAGCGGTGCTGCTCTCATGCCGCCCCTCACGTGTGGTGTTGGCGTGGTGGTGGGGGTGAGGAGGGAGTGGGGGGGGGCAAGTCCATCCCTGGCCCCAGGTCCCCACTGCAGCCCATACCACCTGCCACTGCCCCACCACAGAGGGACCTCCCCCAACCAGTGCTGCATGTGAGGGGTGGCATGCAGGAGGCACCGCTATGAAAACCCCGGCCCAGAGACAGCCCCATGCCCAGCTCCTCCACAGCACTGGCCCCTGGGGGTTGGGGAGCAAGGGCCACAAGCAAGGCCAGGGGGTTGTTTGAGGGAGGTGCTGCTCCCTGGCCTATGGCATCACTCCCACAATGCACCATACAAAGCAGCTGACTGCGGGCTTCCACCACACTAATTGCATAAGAATGAATTTACCTCACATATACCGAATTTTTGGTATAAAAATGGTAATTGCATAAGAGGAAATTTGCACATACAGAACCTGCATAAAGTGAGGGAAACCTGTACCACTAACTTACGCAGCTCCTTCTGAACTTGCCTTCATTAAAAAATTGCAGCAAGCTAGAACATGACTCTGATGAGCCATGATACATAATACAAGGTTGACCATAACTCTATAGTCTCAATAGTCTGCACACTGATTAGATGTACTCACAACTGTATCTACTTTATCATGGGCAAACATGCTGAATTTTCTAGTGAAGAACATCTCTATATGAACTTAATATCCCTGTCATTTACAAGGACGTAGTCAGCAGTAACTCCACTGAAGTCAATACAGTTTGGTATTTGGTAAAACCCTTGTGGATAAAAAGAGAACATTAGTATTTCCAAAACTACTCATTTATACTGGGGATGGTAATTTCTGAGATATCACAAGATACGTGCGAAGACTTCAGAAGTGGTCACATTTTTGTTCTTCATACCCAGTGGAGTTACTGAACATCATGCTATTATACTTCATGTTAGATGAGTTATTAGCAGATGCAGGCTGCATCTACACAAGACACTAACTGCACAGTTGTTACTGCATAGTAGCATCACCAAATGGCTTTTAGGTAACACTGACTGCACACCTTGTCACTACTGCGCAATAGTGTCACGTCATGCTTTGTGCCACATGACGCTACTGTGCAATAGTAATGAGCTACTGTGCAGTCAGCATCTCATGTAGACACAGCAGCAGCAAACTTTATTGCATGGCATTCTGCTGCTCTGTTTAAGTAAACTTTGAGATAGCTTATAAACTTGGAATTACAACAGTCTACGGGGATAATGCTTGACATATTACAAAATGCCTTGCAAGTCAATTTACTTCCTTCCAGGGCTGCAACTGACCTTTTTATAGACTAGAACTATGTGAGTACAGCAGCACTGTTCCCCTGTTGAAGCTTTCATCTCCAATTTCACAGGAGGCCGCGTGTTTGCTAATCCTCAGGACTGTGCCCAACATTTGATGAATGGAGACACTCTGAGTGGAGTCTACACTATCTCCGTCAATGGAGATATTGGCCAGAGGGTGCAGGTGTACTGCGACATGACTACAGATGGCGGCGGATGGATTGTAAGCCAGCATGCAAGACTCATAATGAGCAGTTTTCTTTCATCTAGTACCTTCCTTCCATCACAAAAGTTCTTTGCAGTGCCACTCATTCACAAAGCCAACACAGCAACTCTGGGGCAGCTGCTTGACAGCATGTGGCAACAGTTTAGAGGAGGGGTATCAACCATGTCCGGCCCTGAATACCACCAAATAAGTGGTGCGAGGCCAGTCCACAAGCCAAATGAATGGCAGGGCTGGCCCAATGGGCTTGATCAGGCCCACAGACCTCCTTCCCATGGCTAATTCAGCACACAGGTCACCTACTTTCTACTGGTCCAGGACGCAGCAGAAAGAGACCCAGCATCCTAGGTGCTTGGTTGCCACTTCAGGAACAAACCATGGTACTATTGGGATTCCAATGCAAGGGGTCTTACCTAGGCACTTGACTGCTACTGTAGGAAGATCCCCCACTGTAGCCAGAGTAGGGACAAAAATCTTTAGGCTGGATGATCTGGCTCTATGAGCTGGAGGCAGCTAATGGTCCATATGTTTGGCACTCATGGTTTAAGGAGTTTAAGGCAATAATATCCCATTCAAAGTGAAAGAAGAAATTTCATAGGCAGAATACAGCCTGGATGGGACACCAAGTTCCACTTCCTGCTGAAACCTATAAGTGGGTTGTGGCTGGCCTTCCAGTGGAGGAGCAAAGGATAGAACAGGTACAAACATGCTCCTTTGTGCACACTGGCCTCAGTCACAGTCCTCACTGCTCTCCTGACCATAAGGAAACCTCTGTACTAATCCTCCTGAGGGCACAAGCCACTTCAAGAAGGTCCAGTCCCCACCCATGTTAGCAGGGAGCTGGTCAGCAGTGTAAGACAACATGCTATGATATCACCCCCATAAAGGCATAGCTGCAGGCCCACTCCCCCTGACTACCTGCCCAGACTTTGAGATCATATAACCCACAGTGTTCCTGCTGGGACACTGCACTCCTGCCCCACCCCCAATGCATGGATATGCCTAAAAACAAATGAAAGTGCAAAATGCCATGATCAGGAAGGTTCTCCAGCATGACTCCTCTAATAAATGGTACTTACAGCTCCATGGTGGCCCTACCTGCTAGGACTTGGGAGCAATGAAAAGTGAGGTTTCTAGAATAATCCCCACTACATCCTGCAACAAAGTAGATTCCCTCCCCCAAAAACTAAGCAAGTCCAACCCTGCTTAGCTTGAGAGTTATGATGAGAACATAACCTTCAGCTCTACGGCTATGAGCCATAGCAAAGAAACACTGCGTGCCCATGACAAATGAAGGCCTGCACAGCCCTGTCCAACCAAGCTGTGAAAAAGAGCAAAGTAAAGCACCAGGCAGAGACCAGAACATGCTTAATATTGTATACTTCATTTTCTGTGCCTTGGGGAATGGGTTGTGCTCCGTTAATAATAGTTACACTTGAAGAAATTCCCTGTGATTTATTCAACATGTTTTCAGCTCCTTTTGGGAGCAAAGTTTGAGACTGAAGCTGAAACTGATTTATTGCCCTATAAATGAAATTAATGGATAATAGCTTTCAAAGTGAATGATTCTCACTCAGACAGCTCACCATATGGTGGTGTCAGCCCTCAGCTGGATTGAGTTTGCACCATACTTTGAGGCACATGTCATTTTTTTTGTTGCACTGAACAATTACAGCCTAGTTTAGATAGAGTGGCAACTTAAGCAAAGAATGCTTTGACATCCCAGTCTTCCTGTGTCACATATGTGCTGTTTTGCATTACTACACAACAATCCAGTGTGTGTCCAATCAGAACAGGGCCTTGACATCATTCCTAAGAAAGATTTTTCACTCTGCTTCAAAGCGTCCTACATAATATTGAATTTACCAAAATGACCAGTTAAAAGCAGAGTTGCAGGCTGAAGGGCTAGAGGAGGTAACATCCATGGCTTAGAGTCGGGGGACTTGGCATCAGTATTACTGGATTCCTTTCCCATCTCTGTATTGATTTGCTGTGGACATTATTTAATATCTCATCATTTTGGTTTCCCCTTCTGTAAATTGACTGTTATCAAACAGATCTAATTCACAGTCCTATGATGAGAAGGCACGCATTAATCTACCATGGCCTCTGAGACAGTCACATGATATATGCCTTAGGGAAGCAAAGTATTATCTTGATTTCATATATCACAAAGCCCATTCAGCTATGATCTGTCATTCTTCCTAACTAGTGAAAAGATTCCTCTACTTCTCTTCATTTCCTCTCCTTTTGTAGGTGTTTCAGAGACGACAAAATGGTCTGACAGATTTTTTTCGAAAATGGGTGGATTATCGTGTTGGTTTTGGAAACCTAGAGGATGAGTTTTGGCTGGGTAATGCCTTTACTTTTTTGTCTTTCCTTGACAGGGTCCCTCTAACTGCAATCACTGGAAACTATGTATTTTTGAATTGTGCAACTTACCTCTCCCAGCTTAATTTTCACCTGTGTTTTTGTTTCAATAGAAAACACAGCTCTCGGTCTTTGGCTTTTCTTGGACCCCTCTATTGCCTTTACTTCACCACTGTTTCCTCCTTTATTCATCCATGCTCATGTCATTGGTGATGTGGCATATGAAGGAAATGTGACATAGAGGGGTGTTACCAAGGTCAGCTATTCTCTGACTGGTTATCAGAGCAAGCTAACATTGTCCTGGCCTTTCACCTTTACAGACCTGAATTCAGACCTCTATAGATCACAAGGGTGGAGTCTGCCTATTTTGCCTATTTCCCTGAAAAATTGTCGTCTGTTTCAAATGCTATGCTCTTTGCCATTTAACAGGAATGGCAGTTCATTCTTCAAAAAGACCCAAGGCCCAGAATGGTAGAAATTGAGAAATGTTGCAGATTAGGAATTGGCAACACTCTCTGAGTAAGTGGAGCTTGTGTAACTGGTACCCATGATGGACAGCCCTTAGCTGTGTTCTTTGTCCCCAGACAACAAGCCCACCTAAGAAAATATGAAGTGGGTAGGAGAAGGTCTGATGCATGTAGCTAGCTTCTTGGGTCCACCACTCGCTCCCCAAATGCCTGATGCCCCCTGGGGTGTGACCTACTTGCTGCTCTTTCCAGATCCACCTCATCTCCAGTCTCTTTCCTGCCATGCCTTTGATGTTAGTGTATTGAGGAGGTGGTCCCTGGAGCTGAGAGTAGTTTCTCTAGTGTTCCCCCTGTCCTTATTATTACTGAGTCCACACTCTCTCCTGGGGGTCTCTGTGCTTTCCTCAGGGTACTTCCCATTTAAGACAGCACCTCCTCAGGCCTCCAAGCCCCTACTGGGGCTTCAGCCATCTCAGGCTTGACCCTTGTTCTTCTGGTCAAGTCATCATCCCTGGTCCATTGTCTAGGACCTCAGCTCCTGGGCCTCAGCCCAAGCTCAGCTTGTTCTATTTGCCCCCAGGCCTTGGCCCTCTTGACCCAAGCCCAGCTCACTCACCCTGCCCCCTTGGCAGGGCTTGACACCCAGTGTCCAAATATCCTATTATGTGGCCTCCAATCCACCCTTAAAGTCACAAACTTGTCTTACAGTCAAACTCAAACACAAAACATCAACCTAACTAGTCCTAAATCCAATACAAACTCCTCTGGGTCATCACACCTCTCCTGGGCTGTCCTGACTCCAAAATGCAGCTAGTTCCACTAGGAGCTCCTCGCCCAGCAGCAGCCAGGGCAGACTGCCCCCTCCATGACCAGAGGCTGGGCCTAGATGCCCCAAGTCCATTCCCCTTGCAGTGATGTGACCTCATCCTCTGCTCTCCTGGCCCAAGTGCTGTTGAATTGGTCATTAGCAGCCTGTCTTTCTTCGGTCCATGGCTTAGTTCACATGGGCAGCTCAGACCTGCTGCAGCTTTGCCCTCAGGCTCTCAGCAGCCCCTCTTTGGCTACATTCCCCTCTTCCTAGTAACAGGCACAGTAGTTCCCTGTTACAGTGTGGCTCCAGATAGGAATGCTGCTCTGTAAGGATGCAGTCAGTTCATGTACACACTAAAGACATCCAATGGTAAAACTACCCCTTAACCTTTAAGGAAGGTTTGATTTTGAAAGTCGCCTAACCTGTATTGTAAGCCAGATCCAAAAGCCCCAAGGTTGGACTTCCCCTCCCCCAAAACTATACTGGTACCAGCTCTAAATGAGGTGGCTTTATTCTATCTCATAAGCACATAAATGTGTCTTGTACTCTACCTAAATAGCACAGGTGCAGCCATCTAAGGGCAGAGATAAGAAATGAGCCAGCATGACTTTCCCTATAAGAAGTAATAACTCCCAATTCTTTACCTCTGCACTGTCTAGCTTTGCATTTTCACAGAGCACTGAATCCCCTTCTATTTCACTCCCAGAGTTACTAGGGTACTAGAGTTGCAGGGTACTAGGTCTCACATGAACTCTCTGCTCTTCCCTCCAGGTCTGGATAACATACACAAGATCACATCACAAGGACGCTATGAGCTGCGGATAGACATGCGAGATGGCCAGGAGACAGCTTATGCCTATTATGATAAATTCTCTGTTGCTGATGCCAGGAGTCTGTACAAGCTCCGGATAGGAGACTACAATGGCACCTCTGGTACAAACTTGGCATTAACAAGTGCTTAACTGAAGTAGGAAGCTTGCAGGACCAGTGGCTCTGGAATGCCTGCAGTGCATTAGTATGAACTATGTAGGGAAATCCAAATGCCCTAGGAGTTTATTCCCCTTGTGGCCACTGCCACTTTGGGCTGTCCCTACACTAGGCATTCTCTGCCTCCTTGAAGTTTGCCACACAAAGTGAGAGGAAAGGCTTGTCACCAAAAGGTATGTGTTCAATCAGCACATGGAATTTTCCACTAGGGATAAGAAGTACTATATAGCAGCTGTTGCTATTGAGATACTCAGATCCATAATCAGAAGTGTGGCCTTGGACAAAAGTAGTAGCAGTTGGAGGGTACATTTGTAATTCTGCTATAGGGACTGAAAGCCTGAAATCATCTGTGTAGAATCATGATATATATGTCAAATACTTGCTGTCTTTGCCAGAACATTGCCCTGAGTCATATCTTGGGTAAGACAGAACTGCTATACCTCACCCACCACAGCAATCATGGGAAGATGGCCTAACATGAAAGCATCTTTGGGTGAAAAAACTCAATCCCACAAGAAAAAGAGTAGTGAGTTAGATAAACAGCAAGAATGGCTCCAGCTATGCTAGCCTGAATAAAAATGAACATTCATACTTCAAGTAAAAGCCAATACTGTCTGTTTGGGGCTAGCAAGAAACTTTCTACTATATGCAAGATGCAAACTTGCCCATTATGGGAATTTTGTACCTTCCTATAAAAGGCTTGGTACCAGCCACTGGGAGTGAAAAGATCTTGGACTAAACATGAAGAATACAGGAACACAGAACTAGAAGCAACCACTTGAGTCCAGTCCAGTCTCCTGCAGTTGTAGGCAACCAATAAAAGTCTGTCCAAGATGCACAAGAAAGCCATTCCAGCCCCTTCCATGCAACATAGCTACAAAGCACCTGATAATACAGAAACAAAATTGCAGTCCACCACAGGAAGACAGCAAAAGAAATACATGCAGTACCAATTCCTTAGACACCTGAATTGGTAGGGAAATTGGTCAGATATACCCAAGTGATGTGAGGAAATGGATCAAGGTAGGGGGAAAAAGTCCCCATAGCATGGGTGACTAGTGCCACCTTACTTGGTGGGGGGGGACATATGCCCCCCCAGCAACCAGTCAGTGGCCAATCTCACTCACTGGCTTCCAGAAATGGCCGTGGCACTTCTGGAAGTGGCCGCGGCACTCCCACTCCCAGGCCAGTGCTCACGGGGGGGGCACCGGTGCTCCTGCCGGCCCCCCCCTGCCCATCGCCTAAGTGGGGAGCGCAGCCTGTCAGGGGGTGCACCAGCGCTCTCAGGGGGTGCACATGCACCCCCATGAACCCCCTACACGTCACCACTGCCCCATAGTCCTTTCCAGTCTGACCTGAGGTAAAATGCCATCATGACATCAGATTTGATAATCAGTTACCATTAGTTTGATACAACATGGCAGTTCCTGTGTCTGTATATCTTGGAGTCTGACAGTCCCTGCCCTGGCCCCAAAGCAGATGAACTGTAGTAATTCATACACAACAAGCCTCACTTCCAGATTTTATCAACATAATTATTAATAAGATAATGTGAATGCTCACTCTGACCTTAAAAAAGTGGACAAAAGGTTTCCTGAACTATTCATTTCCCATGGATTTTCTGAGAAAATATACTGTACAGGTGCCTGTACTTCTTTCTAAACTGTGCACAAGTATTATTTTCTGACCTCTTTGTGACTTCTGAGGAGTTACTAAGAGAAATTTTTTTCTTGCTGCCATAATTTATTTAGGATCATTTTGAAATGATGTTCACTCAATGGCAGAGAAACAGATGCACCACACCCAAAAACCCAGATTTGAAACAGGTCCTACAACTGTAGGGAAGATAAAAATCAGGAGAATCTGATCTGGATCTGAACTTGGCATTTAATACCTGCCTATAATGAGCCAACACACAACCCTAAATTTGAACAGCCCCCACTTTTGTATCTAAGATTTCCTTCTAACTACTAAATTCATTATACTTGAATGGGCTATGGTTCAGACAGGGCACAGTTTGAAGTGATCAATACAAGAAGCTTACAGGAAGATCTAACCATTAACCTCGGGCTTTTTTCACCATCAGGCCAGGGGCAGCTCCCCTGTATAAACTATCCCTAGCTATTAGAGATAAGTTAGTAAGGTGTTTGTGCTGAAAAGACCCAAGCTAATATTATCCTCATAGCATTCTTCTAATCTTGGAACCAGTGATCTACAGACTTGCAGAATGAGCAACATTACTGAATGATAAGTTACTCACTGAAAAGACACTGGACAAATCTGACAGTGAGCTGCATGTAAAAATGGCAAGCACGTGCACCAGACAGTCCTAACAGGATCTCTTTTTGCAGGTGATTCACTCACCTATCACCAAGGCCGCCCATTCTCCACCCAGGACAGAGACAATGATGTTGCTGTGACAAACTGTGCCTCTTCATACAGAGGGGCTTGGTGGTATAAGAACTGTCACCGAACTAACCTCAATGGCAAGTATGGCGAGTCCCGGCACAGTCAGGTAAGACCAAAATCAAGAGACAGCGCCCCTCATTACTGTGAGATGCATGAGCCCTTTTCCCTTGCCCTTCACTCTCATTACCAGGGATCCAGGTTTTCCATTCACCACAGAAAAACATGGTAAAATGTGGATTATCTCATTTTAAGGAAAAAAACTCAGATTTTCTCCTTTAAAGGAGAAAAACGCTGGTTAAGGCAGGTTTCCCCTTGCAGGATGGCAGAGTTCCAGCCTGCAAGGGGCTGGGGGCAGCAGGAGGAGGGCAATCAGGCAGGGGGCATCATGTGCATGTGCACACATGCGCATGGGCACCAGGCAGCCTGGAGAGCAGCTCCCAACAGGTAAGTTGCGAAGCGGGGGCTAGATTGAGGCCCCTATAGTGAGGGAGGGAGTTAAGCAGGGCAGAGCAAGCCAGGGAAGCTCGGTGCCACCACCATAAGCCCTGTGCTGCCATGGCAAGGTGCCTCCTGTAGGCGAGTGGTAGGGGGTGCATGGGGGTGCACATGCCCCCTGCCATGGGACCAGTGCCCCCAATGGCTAACACCAACACTACAGGACTGGTGCCCCCCATGACAGGCCCAGCTTGTGCCCCCCATGACAGAACGACCACTGTTGGCGGCTTCTGAGGGTGCCCCCCAGATTCAGGAGGCACCAGTTGCTCATGTCCTGTAGGGTTACCAACCCTCCTGGATTGGTCAGGAGTCTACCAGAATCAGCACTGATCTCCTGATGGCTATTGAAAAAATCTGAGAGATTGATATTGTGAATGGGTTGAACAGTACAATTAATGACTAGAGATGCACCAATACATCAGTCCCATATCAGATCAACATCAATATAAGGAAAATTGACAGTATCGGCAATCAGCTTTCTTTGCCTGACGTGGCCAATAATGTTACCAATAAATGCCCCATGCATGCGCACAGCCACAGCACAGCACGCAGGTGGCCAGGAGTGCAGCCAGGTCCGGCTGGTAAGTCTGTTGTGAGGGAAGGGGCATGGGGGTGGAGGGCAGATCGAGGTCCCAGCAGTGAAGGAGGGAGTGGGACTGGGGCTGGGGCAGGAGCTGTACAGCCGGGGCAGGGTGCTGGATGGAGCCACAAGCGGCTAGTCCAGGAGATGCAGGGGGGGGAGGGTGGCCCCCACTGCTGGGTGCACCCCAGGGGGTATGGGGGTGCCCCCAAATTTGTGCACAGGGCAAGGGTGGTCTGTCTCTGTGGGCTGGGGCCAGAGGTGGTACTGGGCTTTTCCCAGCAGGTGAGTTGGGCCAGGGCTGTGCTTCGGGCGGGCAGCGACAGCACTGGGAGGTGGCTTACAGTGAATTTTAAGGTGGCTACAGCCCCCACCCCATAGTCTCCCACCCAATGCCGCTACCATCCACCCCAAGCACAGCACAGCCCCCACACCAGAAAGAACTTGGCACCACCCCTGGCCCCAGCCCACGGTGGGCAGTCCCCCTCACCCCACGTGGAAATCCAGGGGCACACACCCCACATGCCCTCCCGGGGTGCATGTAGTGGCTGTAGCCGCCCCCCCCCCCCCCCCCATCTCCCCAGACAAGCCGCTCACGGCTCTGTTGCAGCTATGCAGTGCCTGCCCCTGCCCCTGCTCCACTCCATCCCTTACTGCAGGAGACTCGATCTGCCCCCCCACCCTCCTTCCCTTCCCCCTCCCTCTTCTCTCACAACAGACTTACCAGCCAGTCACTGCTCTCCAAGCTGCCCAGTTGCGTATCTGCATTTGGATCGGTATCAGCCAATATGGCTTGTTAAAGACTGAGCACTGGTATCGGCCCAAAAAATCTCTATCAGTGCACCCCTGTTAATGACATTACCTCGTGTTGGAAAACAAAACCTCCAGGAATAGCTTCAGTCAGAGTTGGCAGCCCTAGCCTTCTGCCCACCTGGCAGCAGTGGGGGTGGCAGTGTGGAGTTCTGCCCCTTGCTGCTGAGGGGTGGGCAAGAGGTGCCTCACCATGGCAGCGTGGGGCTCACAGCATCAGCCCTGAGCTTGGAACTGTCTAGCTCTGCCCTGCTGCACCAGGTCTCATCCACTGAGCCTCAGAGGCCCCAGACAGAGGGCTGCAGGGCAGGAAGCCCTGAGCCCTCAGCAGCAGAACACACACCCCCACCACCACCACAGGCTCCACTCCAGCTGTGCCACACATGGGTGATGGGGAGCTGGGCTCTGTGCTCCACTCTGCCACAGCAGCCACTGCCTCCTACAGGCAGCAGCCAGGGCTCAGGTGCTACTGCAGTGATGCAGGAGGCTGAGGCCCTGGGTCCCTGGCCCCATAGCCCTGGCAGCTGGGGGTCCCCTCTGGCAGGGCTAGGGGGACAGGGGGCTGCAGGTGTAAGGTGAGGAGCATTAGGAGGGCCAAGGGGCTGTGGATGGGGAGTGAGGGGCACCAGCAGAGCCAGGGGGCTGTGGGTCAGAAGTGAGGGTCACTAGCTGGGCTAGGGGGCTGTGGCTTGGGAGTGAGGGGCAATGGCATGGGCAGGGCACCAGCATATCAGGGCTGCTCAGCACCACAAAGCAGTAGGCGATGGGACAGCCACAGCTGGACCTGCATCCTGGTGAGCAAAGGGGGCAGGGAGATCTCTGATATTCCATGATAAAAAACCCAAAATCAAACAACAATATTTATAGGTGTTTAGAATGTATTTTATTACAGTGATTGAGGCACTAGTAGGCTTCCAAGTTGTTTTTAAATTATAAATATATCAATAAAAGTTTGTGTTTAACTGATGTGTGTGTGTGCGCGCGCGCAGGCGTGTGTGTGTGTGTGTGTGTAGAGAGACACACACACACACACACACACATATAGTGGTGTTTCATTTTAATGATAGATTTGGGTTTTTTTAATCCAAGAATTTGCAGAATTTTTAATCAGAGAACTTGTGATTTTTAAACAGAGAAAACCAGGATCCCTGCTCATTACATTGGGCAGATTCCATATTTTCATATGTCAGCAGAGAATTTTTAAAAGGAAACTTTAAAAGGACATCTCTTGTCTTATAGCCAAGATATAGTCAAGAAAATGAAGACAGGTTTGAAAAATTAGGAGCAAGGGGATGGATAGAACAAGCAAGGCAGACACATGCACATCTCTTGCCCACAGTGTAACTGAAGAAAAAAAATGTTTCATTCAATGAACACCCTTCTTTTCGTTTTGCTTCTCTTTTGAGTTCAAATCTGTTTCCTTCTTTTTCTCCCCCACCCTTTTTGTTTTTTCTTCCCTGTGCTTGTCTCCTTCCTGCCAGGGTATTAACTGGTACCATTGGAAAGGCCACGAGTTCTCTATACCCTTTGTGGAAATGAAGATGAGACCTTACAACCACCGTTATGTCTCGGGGAGAAAACGGCGGTCTCTACAGCTCTGAGTCAGCAGGAGCCCCCACACCCAACCGCCTGACCTTTTCTGTCATTTGTTTGTATTTTATAATATGAAAAGGAAAAAGAAAATACTACTACTCTGAGATAGCAACCTGCCCCATACATGACCTGGAAGGAATAGGTGATGTGTGGCTAGAAAGCCAGTGGGCTTTGGGAAGGGAAGGACGTCAATGTTTTGTTGTTATTCTCAGTGAAATGCCAAGTTCCCAATTACTCCACCCCCTAGCCCCTACCCTTTTCATGGAAAGAGAGAGAACAAGGGTGGGGAGAGACAGAGAGATTTTTAATATTTTTAAAGACCTATAAGTCCCAAGAAAACCCCATCAGAACTGTGTGTCCCCATACCCCTCCCACCCACTATCTCTGTAATCAAGTTTCCTTTACAATGCAGGTGCTGTCAACCAGGGACATCAGTGAAAGTAGAGTTGGCCAAGATGTCATGTGGGCTCTCTGTTTAGGCAGACTGTCTGGCTGGGCAGCCTGCTGCTGAGTCAGCAAGCAGCACAAGCCAAACCTTAACCAGGAGGACTGAAAATAGTGTCCTGCCATTTATACAGACTCACAGGGAACAAGTCAGAGCCCCTATAAGCTGGGGTCTGAGACCCAGTCTTACCCCCCAGCCACCCTTAAGGACCTGGGAGCTCAATTCTCCCTCCAGCCAGTGACAAAGAAACAAAGAATGACAAAGAAACAACAGCCCCCCCACCCCGCCCCGGCACTACCACCACCACCATAATAACCAGTTCCTCCACTAGCCAAGAAGATGCAGCTGTCCCTCTCTCCCTTTGACCAAGAACATACAGCCTCCCTTATCTCCACAAGCTCAATACAGGCACACACACACAGATAAATACAGTGGGCATAAGTAATTTCAATGCCTAGCATTGTGCGCCAGATTACTGGGAGTCAGAGATCTCACAAAGAGACCCTGGGGTATGACTTCATGCTCCCTCCATCTCCCTTTGCCTTTAGAAGGATCCCTGCCTACCAGTTAACTCCACTATCACTATGCTTCTAACATGCCCAAAGTAACCCTCTGTTTACAATGAATGCATTAGCATTAGGGGAACAGATCGTGTACAGCATCTGCTGATAGGCAGGAACAACTGTACCAGCAGGCAACACTAGCTTGGGCACAGAAGTGGCCCTTCTACTCCTGATTTGAAAACTTTCTATGGGTTATAAATATGATAATGATCCTTAGGTCAGGGGAGAGGACAGGAGTGAAAGAATCAGCAAAAATAGCTTCTAGGAATCTTTAAAGTCACCCTAAAGTAAGTATATTTACTTTCTCTGTTATTTCTATACGCCGCATTGTCATCTCTCATAGTTGTTTTAGGCCCTAAACCAAAGAGTGCTGTATGCGGGACAGTAACCAGAAGAAATGGCAAGTAGATACAATTCCATCCGATTCTGCTAGGATAAGCTGCAGCCATTTGCCATGAAATCTGGCAGATGTGCAAGTTCCCTTGCGTTTTGGAGGTAGGATGGTGTTGGGGTGGAAGCAACCCCAAGTCAGGAAAGGTGAGACTCTCTTCCTCTTCGTTTTGTAGTCAGCCTCCCAGGTGATCTCAAGCAAGTCACAACCTCTCTGTGCCTTGGTTTCCCCACCTCTGAAATGGGAAATTGAATACTTCCCTACCTCAAAGTGAGGCTTAATTCATTCAGATATGTAAAGCACTTGGAGATCTTTGAATAAAAGGCCCTGCATATAGTCAAGGCCTTATTATATATTCCCTTCTTATAAAGAGACACCTTCATAGGTACAAACCTGATACTTAGATGATCTGTCACCTCTCTACCTATTGTTACTGACACAACCTTTAATAATTAAAAGTGAATTTCAAACATTAAATTTACTCCTCGTGGCTGATGGTGCTGTTTATGTTTTGCACTCTATTCAGTTTGGCCAATGAAAATAACCTAGTCTCTCTTTCTGGCTCCCATGAACCACCTAATACCTAATCACCTTAGCATAGCCAAGAATAAGCCAATTGTCTCCTTAATCATCACACTTCTTGACTCAAAGATTTATAAGCTCTACAGCCAGCCTGTGCCCAGTGATGAGAGGGGAAGTTAAAAAGAAAATGCAGTCTCCCTTTCTGCTCCACTCATTGGACAGAAGAACTTAACAAACCCTGGGTTCAGGATTACATACAAGCCTCAGCCCCCTGAGTATTCCTCTTCAGAGATAAGAGAAGGGATCCCATCTGTTGCTAACTTGACCTTGGGGAATGATGAGCTGCCCTTTAAATTCTTGTTTCTCTCTTACAGTAAATTAGCACTGGTCTGACACCTTAGAGTTATGTACCCAGCACTACAACAAAGTCAAGCCTTTTTTCCAATCCTGAATGCTCGTTTTTTCCCCTCCTGTTGATCATATGACAAGATGAGGGGGTGCAGCCTGCTTAGGCCCAGTTTTGAACGTATATTGAGTACAGAGTTTGCTCTACAACCCACTGCAGTCAATGGAACATTTCATCATGATGTCAGAGGTCTTCAGATCAGGCCTTATGTTACTCACTGGCCATATCTACATGTGTACTTTACAGCAGAGTAGACTAATTACCGGCCAAGTAAACTAATAAGCCATGGAGTAAAGCATCACCATCTACATGTGCGCCAGTATTAGGCCACAGTAAACTAACTGACATCACAGTAAGATAGTACTGTCCAGGACAGTAGTATCTTATGGAGGAGTAATTAACTGTGATTAAACGCACGTATAGATGCTGACCACGAGCACAAATTGCACCTGGTCAGCCTAGCCAGCAGAGAGCCAGATTCCTCCTGCCACCTAGCCACACAGCTCTGCACTTTCAACACCCTCATACCTTAACCAGCCCCTCCACCACCTGACACTGCCACCCAGGGCACAGCAGGGCAGGAGGGGCTCTGGCATAAACTGCTCTGTCCCAGCTCAAATTGCTGCTGCCCCAGGCTCATGTGTAGATGCTGTACCCGAGAGTAGTTTACTCCAGGTCAGACTGCTCTGAAGTTTATTGCTTCAAATTAATTGCACATGTGGATGCACCCATTATGAACTGGCTGAGGTATAGGTAGATCAAGGAGGAACAAGGTGTTCAGGGTTGAGAGATTCCCACAGGAGGCAGATAGTCCCACACAAGAGGCAGATATCATGAAAGATAGACAGCAGGAATTCAAAAAGCCAACAAGAAGCAGACAGGACTCAGAGAACCTTAGGGGACCCTTTAGCCCTTATAGGTTGTTGATGAGAGGAAGTTGTCTTCATACAAATAAATAGGAGGTGACCTCATGAAATGAAAAATCTCCATAGCTTACTAAGTGCACAGCTAGGTGCAGAGGCTAAAAAAGCACTGGGCTTACATCCCATCTGAGGCAATGATTATTTGGAAGTTTTCAGACTGGATTTGTCACCAGGTTTGATTGTCTCTGTTCAGATGAAAAACTGGCAGCTCAGTATTAGCTGTTCAGCAAAGGGAAAGAAGATTGCTTTCTTTGGACTGGTACAAAAACATGTCTATTCCAGATCAGAACCTCATCAAAAATCAGGCTGAGGTGCTTTTAAAGCTAGTTTTGCCAGCAGGTAGCACTGCTCAAAAAAAGAATGACAGTATTTCCCTACCAGGCATCCCACATTCCCTGGCTACATCCCACATCAATTTTAACCTTATCGCTGAGATGGGAAGGCCCTACTAATAGAACTCCATTATCCAAGCACAGAAAATATAATGCAGTCAGCACTCACCTCTGACCACATGCCAAGACAAGTCATTGCCATAAAACTGACAGTGGCGTTGCCACTGCTGTGTTGTGGCATGAGGTCTTGCCAATCAACACCACTAGGAAAGGGAATGGACAATAAAGGAAGTCAGTCCTCCCTTTGCCTAAGTTGCCGTCACCCCAGTTTTATTTCTCTGCACTTGGCAGAAATTCTCTTCTCTCCATTCCCCCTTTTTGTCCCTTGCCTGTGAGAGAGAGGGTCAGTAAAAATCACTAACCTGGAATAAGCTGTGGAGAAACCCTTACTTATTATGAACTTTTCTTCCCCATTTCAGCTATCCCACATAGTACCTGCCTCTGTAGATTTCCAGCTAAACAGAGACCACCTTCACTCGGGCATCACCACTACTGCTCACCTGCCCTCAATCTCTGAGTCTACTAGAACCCTTGAAGGAAAGATGTCTACAATGTTGTGTTTCTGCTGCCTTGGTGATATGCTAACTGTCAGACCCCTCAGATGTCTAAAATGTTATGTTTCTGAGTAAATCTCGGGAACAATTGGCACCAACTCGCTATCTCACATGGTCTTTTTCATCCAGTTGCAAATGCCCATGAACAGGCTGTTGATCTTAGGAATGCATTAGCTTTTCAGCATTGTTTGATGAACTTTTGGGGAACACAGACTTTCTGCCAAGGAGTTATATATGCAAGCTGCATTCAGTATGGGATCAGCCAGCTTTTTAAACATGGTCAGGTTTTATGCTGTGTCACCAGATGACCCGGCTTTTATCTTAAATTATTCTCTACCCAAAACAAATTTGGTTTTGTGGCCCTGTTAGGTTTTCTTTGTACCTAAATGAATCTTGGCAAAAGAAGGCCTGAAATTCACATAAAGCAAGCTTCACTCCTATGAAGTGTTCATGAGAAACTAATCAAAAGAGTGAAAACTCAGGTGGAAGTAAATTTGATTCAGATGTTGCCGAGACATTCATCAACATTCTTCTTCTGTACTCATCTCTAGTCATGGACCTAACTGAGTTCTAGACTAAATGCTTCCATGGGCTTGATCCAAAACCCAGAGACGTCAGCGGTAAGACTAATTTCATTAGGCTTACTCTATTACAAAGTCCTTTTTTAAAGCCTTGTTGAAATCATTGGGGGCTCATCTGCCCAGAGAAGGCTTGCAAATCAGACCCAGGATTTGATTTAAAGCCTGAAATGAATTAGAAACACTTGTCCGAAGTGGATGAGGTGCAAAAGCATAAATTTACAGCATCCGTGGGGGAAGTGTTTTGGGGCTTCACCCTGCAAAGTGCTGAGCCTGAACTGTTGCCAGTGGCTCTGATAGGAGCGGAAAGAGCTCAGTACATGGCAGGATTGCAGAGTTCTTTCTCTGTTAATAACCTAAGGTGCTGTTCAAATGGTCTTTCTATGAACACAAGTTGTCAGTGTGACGAAATCATCAGCAAAGCTAACTGCA